CTGACATAGTTTTGTATTGGCTGCATGACTTTCAGCCTGAATTCTGTGTTTCATTGAAAACAACCATGCAGTTGAGGGATCGTTTTTCTTTGCTTGTCTTTTGGAAGGGCTATAATACCTTATGGATTGTTACCTTTGAATAATGTTATTATATTGTCTGATATGCATGGTGCCAGATGGGGGCAAGACAGAGGTAGCTCACCCCACTCCAAATGGTGGACCCTAAATGATGACTCTAAAGGAAAAGCAATTTTCACACATTATAACTGAATCAAAAATCAGACTAAAATAAGACTGCAATCCTGGGCATGTCCACTTGAAAGTTAACTCCATCAAAATCAAGAAGGCTTACTTCAGAGTATTGATGTGAACACTTGACCATCAGGAAGTTCATGGCTCTTTTCCAGGGAGGAAGTGGAAGCAGCAGTAGCCATCTCCAGCACAGTGCAGCATAGTTTCTCACTCAACTGTGGTGGTGAATTTATAGCCTCTCTTGGTCAAAATCTTCATGAGGTAGTCAGTCAAGTCATGACCAGCCAAATCCTGGTGGAAGATGACATGGAGCAGAGTGTAGCTTTAATAGATGGGCAAAGGGTGGGGGACACAGTCACCAGAGTCACAATGCCAGTGGTATGGCCAGAGGCGTACAGCGACAACACAGCCTGGATGCCAACACACATGGCTGTGGTGCTGAAAGTCTCAAACATGAACTATGCCATCTTTTCTCTGTTGGCTTTGGGGTTCAGGGAAGCCTCTGTCAGCAGCAGGAGATATTTTCTGGGGCAACTCCAGCTTATCGTAGAAGGTGAAATGCCAGCTCTTTTCCATGTCATCCCACTTGTTGACAATAGGATATTTTAGGGCCAGAATAACTTCTAAAATTTCTATTAAAATTATTTTTCAATGATACAGTGGAACCTCGGTTGTTGAATGCAACCTGTTCCAGAAGACGGTTCGGTTTCCGAAACGTTCGACAACCAAGGCACAATTGCCAGTCGGCAAATTCCTTTTAAAAAATGGAGAAACACACCTCGGAAGCCGCTCAACTTCCAAGGCGTGTTTGAAAACGGAAGCATTCACTTCTGGGTTGTTCGCATTCGGATTCTGAATTGTTCAGCTTCCGAAGCGTTCAACAACTGAGGTTCCACTGTATACTTATTGTATAAAGGCACAAAATAGAAATTGAATATAACAAGAAAGACAAAAACAAACAAACCAGAAGCCAGGTAAGTAATCATATTCATTCTTATGTATAGTCACTGTTGCCTTTTTCTGTGTAGTTCTTGCAGGGTCTTTACATAGTATGTTATCAGGGTAATGCCACTATTTTAATTGGCCAGAAGAGATTGAAATATTGAAGGACAAAGTTCAGAACAGAAATATAATCATGACATCCAAATTTGTGCTGATGTATTGCCATATGTAATAAATAGCCACCAAACAGCTGAAAATACATCTGGTTTCCTTTTCCCTTTCATGACTACTGCCCTCACCACCAAAGTATCTGCTTTTCTGGCCCATACCAGCCACCATACCCTGATGCCTGGGGCAACCAACAAAAGAGGGGGACCACAGCATGAGGGACATCATTCCTGCCAAAACCAGCTTCACGCATTCTGGAGCCTTTGTCACTAAAAAGTGCAGATATATCTGTGGTGATATTTTTAGAAGTTGCGCAGGGTTGTTTGGGCATGAGTTTGTTTGAAAGCCTTGGGGTGGGAGGGGGAAGCAAGGTGGCTTAGGGATCTACCCAGTGTGCAGAAATCCACATAGAGAGTTCTTAATGGCTGCCTATTAATGTGAAATATACTGTTGTTTCTCTTTCAGAAATTGAACATATGGGACAAAGCTCACTACCTCAGAAATTTAAATTTTCATTTCCTGTGTCACTGCACTTTTTTCTGGTGCCATCACTGCATTGGTTTGTTTTTATCTTGCTTTAAAATTTATTTTGAATGCATGTTTGAAAAACAACACATACATTTTAACCATAAATAACACTGTGTTCTCAAAGGCAAATTGAAGTAGGATTAAAAACAAATGCTTACATGGTTGTCATCAAACATATGCAAGTTCAGATTAATCTTTTCAAATATATCCACCCACAGGTAACTTTCCAAAGGCCATCTTACAGATCCCCAGCATTTTGACTGACCTGGGTTTAAACCTTGCAATTCTGCAGTATAGAAGCTAAATAAATGGGCAGACCTGCCTTGCTCTTTGATGAACATTGACACAGAGACTACATTTGTAAATACACTTACTTGTGAATGTCGTATTGATTTCTACATTGATTTAGCATTTATTTTCATGGGACTTTTAAGTAGCTGAGTTTAGGATGATGGCCAGAATCCTCTTCCAAACTGGTTCAAGTAATTCCCAAGACTGCAAAGCCCTGTTATCACAGCAATTGCATACATAGAAAGAGGACTGATGTTCTTTGGATGCACACTTTTCTTCCTGATATGTGTGAGTGCCCAGGAGCATAATTTGTTTTGCA